AACCGCGGTCCCTGTGCTTTGCCAAGCTTGTTTCAAGTAGGTGCTTTAGACCACTGAGCCATCTCTCCAGCCCCAACATATGTCTTCATTGTTTTCACAATAACTTTTCTGTCCTTGGGTGTGCCATGCCATAAGCAGTGCATGGCCACTCGGGCACCGTCGTGTGTATGGGCCAGGTACACCACCGCCTCACGGATGGCTTCGATCAGCTCTGATCTGAGTTTTGGGGTTGCATAGGTAAAAAAAGTCCAAGAATACTTTATGGACTAATGAGTGCTTAATCACAGCTTCCTTTTGAGCCATTGGAGTTAGAATCTGTTTCATTTCATCCATAATAAGCTCTAATTTTTCAGGCTGTACCTCTAACACCTTGTCCAGAGTTGGATGTTCTGTAGACTTGTAAAGCTGAAATGTGTTCCCGTAGAGCTCCTTGGTCAGCATGTTCCTTTGCTCCAAGATGGCCTTGTCATTGTACGCATGCATACTCCACGATGGCCGAGGCTTCTGTGTGCCGCAACATCTTCCTCACATGGCCTTTAAAACTTCTGATTATCTCTGCAATCTGTGGTTTACTTCTAAACTCAACAGTCATGGAAAAAACAAATGATAGCAAGCCGTACATGAGAAATTGCTTGACAATATTTCTGGAATATTTGGCTTTACTTAATTCAACCAAATCATCTCGTAATTCTTCAAAAGCTTGTTTTCTCTGTTCTTCATTACCATACTGAATATAGCACTGGATCACACGAGTGGAATCATGTGCAAATGCAATAGTTTTAATTTTCCCTTGAATCAACTTCTGCAAATCACTCATCAACTTCACTCGTTTTTCTTTGTCACAATCTTCTCTTCTTAAGATCTCCCAAATCTGTTTGGCTCGAACAACAATGTCAAAGTTGGTTTTGTCACTGAGCTGCCGGCTCTGCTTTAGCTCTTTCTTCTTCCTTTTGAAGTCATCCCATTTCGGTTTCTTGGATGCTGATTCATCACTTTTACCATCTGGCTGGAATTTTCTCTTCTTGTTGAATGTATTTGTTTGCTGGAATTTGCTTTTCGGTCCTTTGTCCCCTTGTTGCTTATTCTTGAATTGTTTCACACCCTTTCTCCCAGGTTTTGCGGTACTTTTCTCAAACTTCTTAGATGTAACCTTAGGTCCCCTCTCCTTAACAGCGTTCTTGGGGAATGTCTTTGAAGAACTAGAATCACTGTTTTTCTGAAATCTGCTTTTTTCTTGTGAAGCCTTTATGCTCCTTACTGTGACCTTTTTTTTCCCTTTGACTTCCATCATTGCAACTCTAGCTCGGGGCCGGATCCGGAGCGCAGCGCGGGCACCACAGCCCTCAGAGCGTGGTGGTCGGATGAGGTCGCGGCTCCGCTCTCCTCGCCAGCCTTCCGTCAATTTCCAAACTCAGCAGGTCTTCCTGGACCCCACCACCACACACGTGCGACAGCGATCCGCTGGCCTCTTATATACTCTTAAAAATAAAAACCTAAGCTTCTAGAATATAGAGATGGTTATATTCTATCCTAGGAGTACCTGATAGCCTGCTGTCAGTGCTAACATAATCTTTTATAAATTTAGCCTAACAGAAAGCTACTTCCATGTAAGTAGAAAAGATTTGGACATTAGAGGTTAATGGCTTAGGGAAATACAAAGAAAGAGGACATTGGGATACAATTTGTGACCTTACAAGCTTCTTGGAATTTGTTTTCTTTAGTTGCACACTGGATTGCACTGATCATTTTATGGCTCATTTGCTTTTTTTTTTAATTCAAAGATTTTTATAGAATGGATTAGTAGGCCCTCTACTTAGTTTTTAAAAATCTCTTGGTTCAATACACTGTAATTAGTTTTTGTTAATTAAGTCACTCTCTCTTTTTCTTTCAGATTGAGGTGGTGCCATGCAGGAAGAAGTGGAGAGATGCAAAGGTCGAACCAAAAGGCCTGACATGGCGCTTTATGTACCTAAAGCTCGTAGGAGTACAGTTCTCCTTAAGACAGGTGATAAGGAAAAGAACTGTGGTTCTCCTAACTCTGTGATGAAAGAACAACGAAAAGGAAGTTGTCTTTCCCACAAGCAGATCTTTGAAGACAAACTAGAGGCTCAGAGACTAAGTATAAACCCTGATAATAATTGTCAAGAAGAAAAGAGATCTTTAACAAAATTAAGAAAAGACACCTGCCTTTATAAAAGGAATAAAGACAGGGTTTGTACTAAGAAAGGACTAACGGTTTCCAGAGAAGTATTATCCCAAGAACATCAACAAAGAGTCTCAAATGCTGGGATTATGCCTCAAGCACCTTTACAAATACATTTTAAACCAAAGACAATGGAATATTCAGAGGTTAATGGTACAGAAGTGACAGGATATGAAGGAATAGTTCTATCACAGTCCTGTTCAAAAATTAGTGAGGTCAATCAGGTTCTAAGTGGACCATTTCAGAATATGGAATTATGTGACTTCAGTAGACATGAGCTAAGTAGGGAAAATTGTGAAGACAAAGATTTGGGATGCAGAATTGAAACTGATGCTAAAATTGGGGAAGTAATACAAGAGCTTCCTAGCAGTCTTACTGCTGAGAGTGTGCTTGTACCTGCAGAACAGTGCTTGGCTTCTGAACTTACACAACAGAATGTACAAATACCCGATGGAACACTGAAGCTCAGCAGTGGAAGCATCACTGCTATTTCTGTTTCTGGAAGTCCAGATGTTGTCATTGATCAGACTCATGTAGACTTTCAAGTTGAGAATATAGCTGATAAAGCCGACAGTACAGATTTCATCTTGGGTCAGAAAGATATAGATTCCATTCCTGAGACTATGGCTCATATTGTCCATAAAATGACTATGGTCAGCAAATTAGAGCACACAAGTAGCATTACTGATCCAATGATTAGAGGATGTGAGGAGAATGACAGCACTGATGATGAGTTATGTGGAAAGTATAAACCTTTGGATACAGCTGTTCTTGTTCATGAAACAGATGATGGACCTAAGCGTATAGATGACATTACTAGTAAGGCATGTGTGATGGATATCACAGGTGCCACGTGTGATCATGTATGTGTAGGTAGCCCTTGCGTAGTTCGACTAGCTGATACTTGTAGTGATGCAGATAGATTCTCAAAATACATAGAAATGAGTGCAGATGAAGCCCCTCCTCATGTAGTTAGAAGTGAGAATGACTCTGGAAATTTCAGCAGCCTAACTGCTTGCTCAGATACTTATGTTGCAAGTGTTTCATCGTGTTTTATAGAGTCAACAGGAAAGTTGATAGAAAATATGTCAGATTGTACTTCCTCCTTACCTATCAAGAAGATTGCTGGTAATAATTATAACACTTTTTTGGACTCTGAACTACATACGTCAAATGGACCAAAAGAACTTACAGGGAGTGCCTTAGGCAATGGTCTGGATATTACTGGTGATATAACAGAGGCATGTGAACTAAGAACTGCTGAAGAGTTCAAAACAAAAGAACAAGATGACACAGAGAATATAGAATTTGGTGTAGAATTTCCTGTTAGAGACTCCTCTATGGAAACATCCATGGAACTAAAATCAGCTGAAACTTTTCATGCAACACAAGGTACTGCTATGGAGGAAAGCTGGGAATCTATGTTTAACGATGATGGTGATTGCATAGATCCACGTCTTCTGCAAGAGGTATGTTCACTTGAAATTGCTTGATTTTTAGACAGAAATTTGAAGAACTTAGATTTAGAGGTAATTTTGATGTGTTTTTTTTTTTTTTTTTTTTTTTGGT